ATAACCCACTCACTTACGTGCTAACGTCAGCTAAGCTAAGTGCAACTGGCCATAGGTGGTTGGCAGCTTTGGCTACTTATGAGTTTGACGTTCAGTACAGGCCTGGGAAAGAGAACACGGATGCTGACTTGCTGTCAAGAAGACCTGATGGTAGGGAAGAATGGCGAGACATTTCACGTTGTGGAGTCAAGGCCATTTGCAAGCAGGTTTGTGTGCAGAATACACAGGAACAAGTAGTTCCATGTATCCAACAATTGGGAGCCCCCCCTGAGTGTGTCCCGGAGGTGTATGCTTTCCCTACACAAATGAAGCTAAACTCCTTGGAGTTAATGACCCATGCAGATTTGGTTAAGGCTCAGAAAGGTGACCCAATTTTAGGTCCAGTTGCTGAGGCTGTACAGAGTGGAAAGTGGCCAAGAAGCTATAGATTGAACCCAGAGATGATGCTTTTGAAGCGTGAAGTAGGGAAGTTGACCTTGAAAAAGGGACTGCTTTACCGTGTGACTAATCACGGTGGAGTGCAAATATCCCAGTTAGTGATGCCTGACTGTTTTAGATCTACCGTGCTAAGGGCAGTGCACGATGAGGCAGGGCACCTAGGGGTAGAGAGAGTCACCGATCAGGTGAGAAGCAGGTTCTATTGGCCCAAAATGTTGAATGACATAGAACTGTATGTGAAGACCTGTGGACAATGTGTTACTCGCAAAAGTCCATGTCAGAGGGCGGCACCACTGCATCAAATAGTAAGTAGTGGGCCCATGGACCTCATCTGTATTGATTTTCTGTCTTTAGAGCCAGATTCTAAAGGGCTGGGTAATGTCTTAGTCATCACCGATCATTTTACCCGTTATGCACAGGCGTTTGCAACACGAAACCAGAAAGCTCTCACAGTAGCTAAAGTCCTGGTGGATAAGTATTTTGTTCATTATGGACTCCCAGCTAGGATCCACTCTGATCAAGGGAGGGATTTTGAGAGCCGACTAATCCGTGAACTGACTCATGCGATGGGTATAAGGAAGTCCAGGACTACCCCTTACCATCCGCAGGGTGATCCACAGCCTGAAAGATTTAATCGTACTCTTTTAGCAATGCTGGGGACCCTGGGTGCTGAGAAGAAGCGTAGCTGGAGTCAGCACATTGGATACTTAGTGCATGCATACAATAGCACGAAAAACGATGCCACAGGGTACTCACCTTATCGTCTTATGTTTGGACGAGAAGCCAGGCTCCCAGTAGACATCTGTTTCGGTACTTCACCAGATGGTGAAGACTCAGTCTCTCATTCACAGTATGTGGCAAAACTGAAAAAGGATCTGGAAAAGGCCTACCAGTTAGCTACGGTGTTGGCTGACAAGACACATGGACGAAATAAGAGATTGTATGACAAGAGGGTCGTGCATCAGGTGTTAGGTATAGGGGACCGAGTGTTGTTGAAAAACCTAGGGTTGCAAGGTAAACACAAGCTGCAGGGGCGTTGGAGCTCTGTGCCATGTGTGGTTAAAAGAAAACTGCCTAACTTACCTGTGTACCATGTAGAACCTGAAAATGGAAAAGGGAAAGTGAAAATTCTACACCGTGATAATCTATTACCAATTGGAAAGTTGGTGAGATTGCCATTGGATGGAGGAAGTGATGACATGCCATCTGTGTCGCGTATCTGTCATAGGTCAAAAAAGACTGCACCAGGTGATGGCCAAGCAGATCATGGTGAGAGAGATGGTTTGTGTTCAGAGGAGTCTGACTCCGAATATCCTTCGTCATGCAGAGGTCCATCCATCCATCCATCC